TTTAGAACATTCCTCGGGGTCGGCAAGTGTGAAGACCAAAACCCACCATGACTAAGTCCCTCGGGCTGGGTGGTCGCTTGTTTAGAACTGTAGCGCCCCATTTTCTCTGGATTATTTTGAGATTATTATATATTCTATTTTATTCGAGACTATTTAATTCGTACTCGACTAGTATCTGTTTGACTATGTGATAGTAATTGCCTAATTGTTTTAGTGTATTTAATTATTATCGAGCCGAATTAAATTTCCAAATTAAGTTCCGAATCGAGTATCAAACCGAGTAGGGCTTTTAAATTTTCATTCACGCGTTAAGTAACCGAACCACCCAAAGGAGGCCCAACCCGCACCCGTAGGCGGATAAAATACCCAAACGGCAGCCCTTTTCCCAATTCACTTGCTTGCATGGCATTTGAATTATTTATGTTTGAATGGAAATTTTAATTTTGAAAACCCCTAACATGATAAAGCCTTTTAATTCTCATTTACCAAGCATTGAACATGAATTATGGGGAGGAAATTCAGATTTATTACTATCATTATCATGGGCTTCAATACTCTTTATGTTGGAAAATTTTAACGTCAAATTCTTTTCTCTTCTATTTGAATCAACGGCTCCACTATTTCTTCTTCCTCAATATATCTCGTTGGTTTCATAGTAGTGAAGCAAGAAGAATAATCAGTTTTTATTTCCATTAACAAGCATTTATTGGGAATTATTGAGGAGAGATTACAATTTTTTTTTTATCATCTTAATAAGAGAGATCTTCTTTCTTCTCTTTCACATCTCTCGGAATTATTCTCTCCTTAGCTTTATTTTTTCAAAACCCGCGACCACTGTTCATCATCATCACCATCTCATCGCTGCTGCTCCATATTTTTCTTGCGAGAGCATCTACGAGTAGGCCGTCTGTCACATCCATTCGACAAGCTAACCGTCGAGCCGTTCACGAGCAGCCCGGGCCCCATCCGTCCAAAGTTACCGTCCAGTTTCGAAGCCGATTGTTCGACCCGCTGTCGAGACCGTTTCCCATCCAATAACTCAAAGATTCCAGAACACAGGTAACTCCTTCGAATCCTCTCGTTAACCCGGTCGTTCTCATATATTGCATGATAGATATATATATCATTCGTGCTACCGAATTCTTGTTTGAAATTAGATTTCCTTCCGGTGTTTTATTTATGAATTTAAAAGAATCAATGTCTACTTTGTTATGTGATTTTACTTTGCTCGTATGTGGACTTCGAGACTGTTACAATGAGTAAAACTAGTGCTGATATATGTTAGGTTCTGTGCTGAAATGGAGATTTAATCGTTTAAGTATCTGATATATGTTACTTTGTTTTGGGCCTTGCTGTATTTGAGATTGTTATCATTTTTTCTTATTCGTGTTATTTATATAATTTGAAGTTTAGAAGTTTTGAATTGTTTTGCTATGTACAAAGTTTCTAGGCTGTATTACCATTTTGAATTTTTATTTTGATGCATTCAGAAATTAGAAGAAATGAGAACACTTCTCTTTATTTCAAACAATCTATGTTAAATGAATATAAACCTTTTTAGTGTGAATTTCAGAAAGTGGAAACTACATTCAATGTTTTAAAAATTGTATTAGTTTGATCATTTAAGATTTTAAAATATAGCTTTATTTCATTTTTTATAAAAGGAAATTTTGGAATTATTTTGAAATGTGTTTTGCACTCTAAGTTAAACTCTTTTATTGGCAGTATGAACTTTAAGTGCTTTAATTGTCAAATTTCTCCGAATTTTTTTTACTATGCTATATTGGGGCAATTGGCAAGATGTTTGATGTTTGAGGCTTTCTTCGTGTGATTTATAGGTGTTTTGAATTTCAAGTTAAGTGCCTGAGTATATTGAGAATTAGCATCTTTGTGTGTTTTCCTTAATTGGTTTTGAGTCGAGTCGTATGTTCCAAATTCCACGAGAAAATCCCACGAGCCACTTAGTCGACGAGTTTCGACTAAGTTTGTATACTCATTGGATTAATTATAACCGAGAGGCTATCTTGATTTCATATAGGTGTTTTAAGGTGTTGACCTCTCCACTTACCGAGCCTCACCTTTTGCGTTAATTCCTATTTCCAGGTGGGTACAGTTTGTGTATCTATAATTATCGCATTTCGTTATTTCGTATAAATGTTCGTCTCGATAACTTTAGTATGCCTGAGAACCCTAGTCTAGTGTTTTACACCGCCAGGGGCGTCTCGCTTATAGTGCCTTTGATGAATGCAAAAACAGTGAGAGGTCACCTGATCCGTGTGTGAGTTTCGGGGGGTGACGCCCTGATCCGTGTGATGTTCGGGGGGGTCCTTTTGGCTCCACTGTCTCCCGGAAAGAATCCCTTAGCCCATGTCGAGCTGGGGTGGGAAGGTTTCCGGTTACATCTTGTCGATGTATGATCGGAAGGTTGTTGTATGTACATAGGAGATTTTGCGATAGGGCCAATTAGGGAGTTATACCTGGATTCTATGCATACTTCGATTATTGTTTTGGATCTTTATGCGAGATAGACTTATGCGATATTGGTGAGCATAGTGGTTTTGCTCACCCCCATTATTGTTTTGTCCTCTTGTTTTCCTCTTCCTATCTTTAGGTTGAGCGTTGTTGGCGGCGGTGGCGAGAGACGAGCAAGTGGTGGTCTTTGGATTGTCATGTCTTTGCTTCCGCTTTATCTATTTTTTTTTATATGTTGGATTATTACTTATGGATTATTATGCTTTCGTTTTAACTTTTGAACATGTCGTTGGAATCATGATGTTTTGGATTAGTTTTGAAAACTTATGAATGATTTGATTTGATTATTATAATTGATAGACTGCATGTTTAGAACCATCGTGGATGTCTAAATTGTTTACCTTGTTAGTTGATTTAAGTAGCGCCCATTAAGGTAAAGTATTAAATTAAAATTTTTGCAAAAATTTTACTCTAATTTTCATTAATAAATCTAGCAAATTCTTTAAAATAAAACGGGGCGTTACAGTATGGTATCAGAGCTAGTCTGCGTTTCTGTAGACTGTCTCTAGTGTTATTGTGTTAATGACCATTGACCACTCGCTTCGTCTCGCCGCGCCCACTCGAGGTATGAGTTTTTGTTTATTGTTTATATTATTGGGGCTTAGGACTACCCACCACATTATGTAATGAATTCTAGTGTTTCAGCGTTGAACTCTAGAATTGATAATTTTTGTCTGTGCTAAAACTCTTCGGATCATTCAATGTAGAGCTATGGCTAGACGCAATGCTCGCAACAGGCAACCATCTCCATCCCCGCCTCCTTCGCCTCGTCAGCATGCTCCACCCGATCCAGACCAAGATTTTCCGAGGCTTATTATTCAGTTCCAGGGCATGCATCCGCCTACCTTCACGGGGACTGAGAGTCCCACTGCCGTGTTGGAGTGGATGAAGGAGCTGGATAAGATCTTCGCTGTGCTACCTCTCACACAACCACAGCGCGTCTCTCTGGCTGGCTTCCAGATGAAGATGGACGCTTCGGATTGGTGGATTGATTACTGGGCCTTGAGGCCAGAGGCAGAGCGCAATGTGCTCACCTGGGAGCGTATGAAGGATATCGTCCGAGACAAATTCCTTCCCCAGAGTTTCCGTGATCGCATGGAGCAGGAGTTTTGGCATCTTCAGCAGGGGAACGCTAGCGTGGACGAGTACACGCGCAACTTCACTCGCATGAGCATCTTCGCTGGTGAAATGGTGAATACCGATGTGAAGAAAGCCCGTAATTATCTGAAAGGGCTGAATCAGCGAATTCGCGAGCTTGTAGGGAGCCATGGAGCAATGCCTTATGCCGATACCGTTCTGCGAGCTCAGGAGGTTTAGAGTTGTTTGATTCCGATAGCTCCAGTGCACTCCTACGATCATGCTTCTCAGACCACTCAGACTGCACCTTCGCTCATCTCTCAGCCACCTGTCATTCCTCAGATTTCTTACCAGTATCCTGCCCCGTTCCCTTCAGCTCCCCCGTCCTCTAGTTCCAGCAAGAGGAAGAATGATCAGCAGAACCGCAAGAAGGGCAAGCGCCCTAACCATGGCCATCGCCAGCATCAACAGCAATTTGTGACCCAGAATGTTCAGCCCATCCAGCAGTTTCCGGCAGGACCGCCACCATGTGGAGCGTGCGGACGGGTCCATGAAGCCAACATGTGTCGCGCTGCCGACGTGACTTGTTTCAACTGCCAGAAGAAGGGCCATTACTCCCGTTCCTGCCCCGAACCCCGAAGGCCAAATCAGCCCCAGCCTCATCAGCAGCAGCAACAGCGAGCCCCAGCCCGAGTTTATGCCATTACTCAGGCGGAGTCAGCCAACAATGCAGGTACAATGTCTGGCATGCTATCTTTATCGAATGTGTCTATCTATGCTTTATGTGATACTGGGGCCACACATTCTTTCATCTCTCGTCAATGCCTGGAGTCACTGGGAATCCGTAGTGTTAGTAGAGTCGATGCTCTCGAGGTTTGTTTAGCTTCGGGAAAAACGATCTCTACCGATACGATGGTACAGGGACTTGAAATTTCAA